GTTTACCCGGAATTATTTGGTATTAGCGGATGATTGGATTTTATCTCTTGGAGGAGGAGGTGGAGGGGGTTGGCATGCTGAGCCTTGATCGGGTTTGGAAGTGGTGGTTACAGTGGACTTTCACGTGAAAGACATGGGACGTGCTTGCCTAATTAAGATTGTGGTTCGTACCTGCAGACGCTTCGTGTTATGAGGCTCCTAAAAAGTGGGCCACGGGCCCAGTTGATGCGGACCTCTCCTCCGCTTTCCTTTACAAATTTTATGTGCTGCTTTACTTTAATGGACCGTTATGCAGTGGTCGGTAGGTAACAATCAATTCCTGGTTGCTTTTATTTTGTTTTATAGGATTAGCTACGGCTTGGGACCATCCTCCTCTACATGTTGATATCCACTACTTTCTTAAACACATTTATACGTTTCTCAATTATTTATAAATCAATAAATCTGTGTCATTAATTATCATATTAAAATACTATATATATATATATATATATATGCAGAAAGCTTAAGATGAATGGGGGCTTGGATAAAATTACAAATAAAATATTTTATTTTCTATGTATATCTAACAAATAAGGTTTTCTTGTCAAGTAAAAAAAAATTTTGTTGTATAAAATATAATTAACAAATATATCTTATTATTCATTATTAGAATCTTCTTTAAATGATAACCCTAAATCATTGCCAAAGTAACCTTAAACTCGGGCCGACACTGTTTTTATAAAAGGATGTTTTTAATTCATTCACGTGTGTAGATGTAATAATAGTCGCAATCTTTCGAGCATGATGATTAGTAATCCAAACCTAATTAAATATAACCCAGACCCAAAGCAACATGAACCCGAGATGATGTGACCCACCCACCCAACCAACCTGACTTAATTGCCGGGTCTACTTTTCTAGTTTTCACTAAACGTGAACAAAAAAATCTAAAAATTGATTAAATTTAGAAAATAAAAAAATTGAAAAACTAAATTGAAAAAAAAATTAAACTTATTAAAATTTTAAAAAAATTAACTGGTTCGGTTTTTGTTTTATAAATTTAAAATAAAAAAAATCAAATTGAACATATCAAACCCAATCAAAAAAATAAATTAAATATAAAAAAATTAAACTAAACTGATTTAAATTAGTTTTTCCTTAAAATAATAAAACTAAAATTAGTGAATTTAAATCAATTTTAGTTTTGATTATCTTATAAAAAACCAATTTTAATTATTTTTAAAATAAAAACCATGTAAAATAAAAAATGATCATCCCTGTTCTTCAGAAGGCTTCCCCGCTGATAAATGCATACATTGCCGATTTGTACAAAGCTTGACAAGAACTCTTAGAGCTAATAACCACTAAAAAAACCTCGACTCTTAAAACATAAAATCATTTACAAGCATAGTTCGTTTAACTTTTAAAATATAAAATTAGAAATACAATTCTGAATTATCTTTAATATTTAATAATTAGTAGTTGGAAGGAGAATTATTAGAAACAATAACCACTAAAAGCTTTGCACTAATTCATTTACAAGTATTGTTAAAAATACAAATAACATTTTTCATATTCTGTTAATATTAAAAAAACCCATATCTTTCAAAAAATAAAAAGATCATTTTCATTTTCTATATATTACAGTTAGTTTATTGACATATGCTTTACACTTGCATTATTTAACTAATCTATGTTAATTTTTTAAGTTTCTAACAAATTGTTTAGAATAATTTGTAAGTAAATAAATTTGAGTATTTATCAAATAAACATGTTTTTTCAAGTAATTTTATATTTTTTTATTATATTAATTAATTTAATTTGTGTAATTTTTTAATCATATAATATAATTCAGAATTATACTTGAATTCCTGTATAAGCAACATGATTATAAATTACTAATATATACATAAATAAAGATTTTATAAATTATTTTTTATAATTAAGCCAAGCACTATTACTAGGCCGACAATCATTAAAGGCTTTGGTATTATCAGTGTTTATTTCAAACAATAAAAATAATATAAGATAATAACATATTAAAAACTGACCAAAGTTTAAATTTATCATTTTTATGTAATTTAATTATTTTTAAATTCTAATAATTTATTTTTTATTAGCTTGTTTTTAAACATTTCTAGAGCATTGATAGTCAAAATAAAGTATCAATATAGTACTGTATGCTTTAGGAGTGATTTAAATAGCTTACTTTGTAAAATTATTTAATATTTTATATGGTATATAAAAAGAAAAAATTAAAAAATACGACTAACCTCTATTTTAATATTCATTCCATGAAATAGCCTACTTTTATGAATTAGTATTTTTTTTTAATAATTTTACAAATATTGCTCTTTTTCTTAATTAGAGGTGATGTTAAATTTACTTACTAATATTGATATGTGTGTGTGTGTATTCTTAATTAGAGGTGATGTTAAATTTACTTATTAATATTAATATTGATGTGTGTGTGTGTGTGTGTATGATAATGCTAATATTGTATTAAGCGAATAATAATTAATTAAAAGTTTTAGTAAAATTCGGACTACAGTTATGCGTGCGCGTGCGCAAAAACACAGCGAAGTTGGCGAGAAGAGAATTACAGGCTTATAGAATTCCTTGGTTTTCTCTCTACCCATTTTCCTCGCCGGAATCTGACCACCCAAATCTTCTACCCATTCAAACTTTATCTCCTCTTCATCTTCAACCCAACCCAATCGTTGTTCAATCAAAATAAAAAAGAATGACTAAAAAATATTTTACAGCTGAGAATCATAAAAAAGAAAGCCCTCGAATTTTCCAAAAAACCACCTCACCTGGTTAATTAACAAAAAAAAAAACCTTGAGATTTACAGATGAGAATCATAAAAAAGGAAACCCAGAACTAAATTGTATTTCGTGTTGCTAAATTGAAGGGCACATAAACTGCTATTTCCTGAATTTAAAGAGAGGGAGGGAGATTTGTGGACATAAACGCATGAAAAAATTAAACCAGAAGTTCATACTCTTCGGGAACCAGGTAAATGTTCATACTTTGAAAGGCGTTCTCCTTCGGCGGATATATGACCATATCTGCAAGGGGAGGATAAGCTTCCAGTTCCTCGATAGCAATCAGATGCACCGATTGGTTTGCATCGCCTATAGTACGATAGAATTAACATCCGATAGAATTAACGTTGAAGGCAGTGTTTTCTTCGGTTTCCGTAATCAATTGCATAACTTCTTCCGGGCAAGAGCCAATAGAGTAGAAACAGAAAAGGAAGCAATCCATGGTTCCATGAACAATATCCCATGAAAATGAATAATCAATTTTAAAGTTTGAAAGAAACATGAATAATTAATTTTCGTAAAGAGCAAATTTGGATTCAAGTTTGTGTTTGCAGTGACAAGGTACAGAAACCAAGGTCAAATTCTTTCAACGGATTTGTATGAGAATTTGATTTTTTTATTACAATTTAGAAATTAAGTTTACCTAATACATATTTATAAGTTCTTAAAAAATAAAGCTAAAATAAATAAATAAATAAACTAGATGAGGATAAAGGTTTTTTTTTTTTTTTTTCTCGAGAGGCGCGTGAATGGTTGATGGACAGTGTGAGGCTGCCAAGAAAAAGAAGAAGAAGAGAATGGCCCCCCAGCACAAAAACTAGCAACAAAACGACAGTGGGTTGATACGGGGGATCCAGCTTTTAGGCTAAGCTCAGGACTTTCCTTTCTCTCTGCTTCGTACCATCAGCCAATGGTTTCCAACCAGTACTCTGTCCCTACTCATCGCTGCGTCGGCCAGCAGTTTTTTTTTTTTTTCATGTTAAAAATATTTTTTTATTTTTATATTGTTTTGATTTGCTAAAATTAAAAATAATTTTTTTAAAAATAAAATATTATTTTAATATATTTTTAAATAAAATATATTTTAAAAATTAATTGTTATCACAATAATAATTGACTGTATCAATTGACGAGCACTTGAATAACTCAAGTTATTGTCTATAATTATTTAAAAAGAACTCAAGTTATTGTCTATAATTATTTAAAGAAAATATTTTTATATATTAGTGGTCATCAATCATATTTTTTTTTAAATAATTAATTTATTCTCTATTTTTAATGTACGGATTACAAAAAAAAACTACCAGTATTTGCAAAACAGGATAGTTTTTCATATGGAATTTCAAAAAATAAAAATAAAAATATTTTTTACTCTCATGTATTCATCAATATTTTTGCATTACTCATTTATTTTTTTAACATTAAATATTTGCAAATAGCTACCCATAATTAGTAACTCAATAGCATAGTGGGTTGATTTGGGGTTATTATGAGAAAATTAACAGAACTAAATAGCAATTACAACAAACCACAGCCTGCGGAAAGGGTTTTATCCGTTATTTGATTTCTGTACTCAAAATAAAATAAAAAAAATATTGGAGCCTCTTGCCATTCTCTGTGTATTGGAATGGTTCTTTTTACTCTTTACTTAATTTTGTAAAGGTTCCTTCATGCGTAAAATCAAAAAGAGAGGGCTGGGGAATTTTACACGATCAAGCTTAATCTTGCGTTGATCAAGCATTCATTCATATAAGAATTAATACAGTTTTAAAAGAGGAATCATAACATTTTCAAATGCATGTAAACACACAGAAGCTATAATGATACTGAAACAGTACAATTCCAGTGTTTCCATATCTACCAGCAATCGTGTTATTGTCCACTGGTTAACATAGCCGATAAGATTCCCTGATTCGGGGTTGGGCCTATGTAGATCATAACTTTTCAACCCAAGTTTCAACCTGGGCTGGGTAGTGATGGGACCACGAGCACGGAAGTGGTGGCTGAATTTTCAATCGTCTGCTGTTCGTGTAGGAAAAGCTAGGCTGCCGGGAGAGGGAGAGCCAGCGCAAATGGGTTTTAAAGCAGCAGTTCCATTTGCGGGGATGACAATGGCAGAGTGTGCACAAGTTGGGCTAATGATACTTCGCAAAGCAGCCATGTGAAATGGCATGTCCAATTTCGTCTGTCCATTCCTGGTCTCACTTTCATACTTGCCGTTGCTTTCAGGTTATTCTCTCCTCTTGATCGTGTTAGAGCATCCACACCTCTGCTCTCAAAAGAGAGTCCTTAGCCATAATAGCCAGCCAATGTGTTTTTCTTACTTAGCATTGTTACTGGTCAAAGGGCTCTCTATTTTGACAAAGTGAACAGTGCTCTCGCTACATACAGCGAGCACTGTAGCACTCTTTATTGTTCGGATACATTGGCGGGGAAGGGTGAGGTTAATGGTTCTTCTGGGTTGTTTGCTGGGAATTCCCTATCCACAGGGTCATGGCCCCTCTGTTCTCCAAACACTTTAACCGGTTGCTCTCTGGCGCAGGTGTTGTCCCTGGGTGAAGGGGAAGAGCGAGGGAAGTGCATTTGCATAAACCCAGGAAGAATGACAAAGGCAGGCGGTGGCTCTTTTGCTGAGCTTAACTACCATGGGAGTCCTTACAAAGATGAATGCTTCAATTATAGGCATTAAATATTGGACCTAAACTCAATGAGGGATGTACCAAACTCGAATGTTCCTCAAAATGGCACAGAAGCTGGAGCCCGAGATCAGAATTAAAGATCTAACACACCGAACGTTCAATTTATTGGAACAACAGCGGGTTCTGGAAACTCGTTTTGATAGAGGATTTCCCCTTGTTATTAAATTAATTGCATAGGTTGAGTGATTCAGAAGGATTATTCGTCTTGTTGTTGCATAGTGCCAATCATTCTTTTGTAACAATCAAACTGTGCATATTAATTCACTTCACTTCTTATTGTTCTATGCAGTTATCAATTTGCAATTACAGAAGCAGTAATGGGAAGTATTTTTAAAATGAGAGTTCAGTTTAAAGTATAATTTTGTCAAGATTTTCAACCAATTTCGCACTGCAAAGTCATCGAAGCAATCACACAAACACGGATGCTAGTAATCACCTGATCTCTTTTAAACAATTTCATTGATTAAATAAATGTTCTATCTTCTCCTACCCCACCTATCAGTATAATCACAAACCCCCAGATTACAGGGCATCATGATACATGTTAAACAATCAATTGCGAAAGCCAATTCAGACAATATAGCAACCTCCAAGGGAATCCATGAATTCTACCCCACTTTCTTTTGTGCCTGATGGCTTCTTTCTCTAATCCATTCCGCCCAACGAATTGAAACCCACAATATGCTAACCAGTATTGCACTTTCAACGACAACCATCCAAGAAACCCAAGCCCAGGATGGAATCAAACCGTGAGCTCCTCCATTCAGATAAAACACCCCCATCTTAAATAATAAAAAATTCCCCGCTTTTTATTTTAAAGAGCATGAATGTGATAATAAAATGGCTTTTTAGCTATTTTACCTAAAATTTAGCTAAATTATAGATAGCATGGATGTGAATGCTCTTACTATTTAAATTGATTGCTAAGTAGCATTCCGTTTCTTCCTTTTCTGTTGACGAGGATGATATTATTTGGTGTTTCACGAAACAAATGGCATTTAAATATTTAATTCGGATGGAAACAAAAGTCAGGTCTATGCATGTTGATACTATGTTTAAGTTGCAAAAAAAAAAAGACTCTAGAGTATCACAGCAGATAATTGGATGCTGTGCTTATGAGATGTTAACGAGGCTCGTACTATTGATTTCATTCTTCTTCTCTCTTTTTTTTGGGTGTTCATAACTAGAAGATGAAAAATAACTATCAGATTATAGGGGGACATGCAGCATCCAAAGATATCCAACTTCTGAATAGGTAAAACTTGAAGCAGCCCAATTTGAAATTTCACAGTTATATGGAAACCTATCAAGAAGATTGATGAGGTTATATTGGAGAAATCAGTATTCTGTTTTGAGCCTCGAACACAATGCTGGGGATAGCATATATCCCTCGAGCATTTAGAGAACTTTTGGAAAGTGTCTCGAGAGAGCTATTGACAAGCCTGTAGAAGGAATACTGCTAGGAGAAATAACCATGTTGTAGGGCATGGAAATTGGAGCAAGGATTTTTCAAGTCGTCACCACTGCGCTAACAAGCATCATGCACACCTTTCCAGTTTAAATCGTGATGAGGATATATAAGAATATTACAGCTTCCAAGTTAACATAATCTGGGTTTTTCTCGGAGAATTGATTCTCTTGATTTGTGTTCTCGTTGGTGGTTCTACATCACATAGGTTCTTTCATTTAGTTCCATGTATGCTGAGCAACACCCTCTTTCACTGAGCTCATAGAATAAGGAAAAGAAAGGTAATCTTGGCAAGTCTCTGAATAATAAAAATTTTACCACAGTGAAGTGCCAAAATACTTGCTTAGTTACCACTTATATACGTAATATATATGAGAAGGAAATGCATTAAATTTATTTGTTTCAATTGTTCATACCTTCATAGCTTCAATATTCCTTATATACCCTAGTATTTTTTAATATTTGATATTTCAAATGCATGTGGCATATATATATATATTCCCGCCTAGCTTACGTAAAATAAAGATATTATTTGTCACCAGAAGATAAAATCGATTGAATATTCTGGTTTTGAGATTTATTGTGCATAATCTACGTACTGAGATAGCTGGGATGGATAGGAGCGAATGGATGTGCACCCTGTCGGAGGGAGGAGGTTCCATGGTCTTTAATTCAAAGTTAGAATCTGGGCTCTTCTTTATTTATTTATTTTTTTCGGAGTTCCATGACATTCAATTATTAAGATACTCTTAAATTTTCACAAGCTGTCGTTTTATATTCCTGGTACGATAATAGAAGTTCTAGCCTTTCGAGTTCAAATTACATTAGGAGATCTCATCTGAGGGGCTCTTTCCAGGCAGATCCTTTTCATTTTCCCTCAGATCCTATTCCTATCGGATGGTTAGAGATTCATTGTGATTTCTCATTACAAAAAAGTTGGAGTGGCGCTGGAGTTGTTACTCGACACCGCTCGAACTTGCAACCTACTTACTAATGATCGGGTTGTTAGCTGCTGTTGGAGCGTACTTAGATCGTGTCTTTTAGGAAGCCTGCGGGTTATTATGGATCTTACTTTACTGAGTGATCCAGCAAAGAGATTCACGTACTTTACTTCATTTTGTGCATGAGATAATGGCCTGAGTTTCTTTGAAAGATTTTGATTGGGTTTTGCAAAATCATTGTTTTCTAGGGTGTTTCTCCTAAATCGAGGCAATCCCTTTTCAGAGGAACCACTGCTTCTACAAGTTGAGCGGCTTCTTATGCTGGCAATGGAAATGTCAACTTGAGTTGAGTTTTCCTTTCTTCTACTTCTATTCCATCTTCCACCCACAAAAAAATTCCCTAAGAATGAAACCTCATTAAAATTGACAGAAATCAACAGTCAATTTACTGTTTATGTTGGCAAAGAAACACTAGGTTGGAGCTTGTCATTTAATTCTCCACGCTGTCCCTCGACACAGGAATCAGATTTTTTTTCCCTTTTGTCCTGAATTTCTATTGCTGAAAGGAATAAGAAAAGGACAGAAAGTGTTATTCACTATTAGAGCTGAAATATTGCATTGAGACAGGTAGCAAAATAGTAGCAGCCTGGAGACGCTACTGGGAAATGGGATTGAAATGAATTTCTCATAACATGGGAATAAATCAATTTGACTGGTTGTTTCAGGATGAGAAACTGGAATGGAAAAGCTCTTGTAGTCTAGATAGCTAAATCCATGAGAACCATGGCATCGATTGCAGGGGGCATTCATTGTCAGTTATTACAAGCGCCCCGCGCCTCCAACCAACCCCCCCCCCCAAAAAAAAAAAAAAAAAAAAAAAAACAATCTTGATGGCACCCTCTCCTTCAAACCTGCATCTTCGGCTTCTCCCATAAAAATTGGAATATTGGAGGACTGCTGCTTGCAGTTGATTGTTTTTTGGCTTCTACATGGCTAATTTTACAGGTGATATTTATCAAAACTCTCAAAGGAAAATGAAAACCATTTGCAGCAAGACACGGAAGAACCTGTTCTTAAGAAATTTCCAATGGAGCTTATCGTGGTCTTTTTTTACTGCTTCTCTTTGACCATTCTGTCTACAATAGAGTTACCTTGGAGCTTGAAACCTACTATGAGATTGATTGCTTTTCTGTATTCGGTATGTAGGGGAAAAGTTCTTTGTACTTGTTATGTGGATGAAGGCATAATAATCTGCTATATCTGCATGCTTAATCTCACTCGCTTCAACTAATGCTTTAATATTATGGATCGCTTCGAGCAATTTGGGCCCTCATTCCCACTTATAGCCTCTCTAAATATTCTCTACATTTTTCTTTACCTTGAAAAGAATGACTTGCAACTTTCCTAAGTTGTAACGCAGCGAGTTTTCGGCTCTGCGTTCCAAGTCGGCCTTTCTACATGGTGCCTGCATAAAGCAGGGCCCGTTTTTGTTGCAATGTTCAAGCCCTTGGGGATTGTCATTGCAGCTACTGTTAGTATCATCTGCTTGAAAGGTATAACTAAATTTTCTTTATGCGCTTTGTCTGAAGCTGGTGATAGGTTCTGATACTTTATCATACTGCCAAGTTGGTTCTATTCGTACATCGGTTGTATTTTCATCCCTTCATAGTATACAAAAGACACTAAGACGCATCATTACCATCCTATTTGAAACAGTTAGTCTGGTTGGAGCAACTGTGATCTTCATTGGATTTTATTCGGTGATGTGGGGACAGGCAACAAAAGAGAAGGTGGGAGTGGATGATAGGGTAAAGAGCATTGAATCAGGTATCCTAAATGTCCCTTTCCTTGCAAAGCCATCCTGAAGAAACATGCAAGTTTTGTACAGCTAACCAAAGAAAAGGTCTCTTTTGCCAAATGAAACTGGTAACCTCAATTTCCTTTACCTAGAAATCATACCCATGTACAAATGCACACACAAGACAGTGGTTCTTGTGCTCTACACACAAGCCTGCGCGCCCATGCAAGGCACTCATTTTAAAAGCTGCCCTTGCATAGTGTTGAAAATTGAGGGGTTCAGGGCTTCAGCACTTGGCATGGTTTATCCTCTATTCCCTTTCCATATTCGACCGTGTTGGTGTGGAGTCATTACCTATGTATCGGCCATGCCTTTAGCTAATTTGGTTGTTTACTTGCAATGTATCTCATGACATGCTGACTGCATCAGTAAATGATAAAAAACTGTACCATATCATATGCACCATTATATTAGCATCAGGTTGCTTCAGATGAAATAGGATTTGGGATTGGATTGGAGTTGGTTGTGTTGGACCAGCCGATAATGTCCCTTGCATGATCCGGACATAACTGTCTTAAGGAGAAGTACTCGGTTTGTCCCCCGATTTCAATTCTATTCAAATACAAGGAATTTCTTTTTTGCTGTTACTCTCCCATAGAATGGGCCAAATGTCAATGTTTGAAAAAAAATGTCTAATGTTATCTGATGCCTCTATCTGTGAAGAGGCAACTTCAATCCCTGGCTGGCTTTTATCCTTTTGAACAGTTGAAGTTGTGCTGATATTTCTGGATAAGAAAGATTTTCAATGCTTTGTCAATACGTCGGTATTATTTTCTAGTGTTTTTCTTTATTTCTTTCTTTTTATAACGGGTTGCATAAAGTCATTGCTTGAAAGTTGTGTTTGATTCTGCATATGATAGCATCTCCGGATTTTGTACACGCCGTTTCTTATCTGTCTTAAACATGAGGAAGAAGTCTAAAGAAAAGAAAAGTGTACATGCATAAACATAGTGGTTTCTGTGAATGGAGAGATGGAAGGCACGCACGATGAAAGATATCAGCATGTGGGTTGACCAATGTATTTAGACTCCCACCTATGGGCAAGGTAAGGTCAGCCCTCCTACAGTGGGACGCATGATTTAACGTCGAGAAGAATAAAAGTGTCAGAACCCAACAGCTAGGCACAGGGTAAGCTCACTTTCTGAAAAGGGTAATGAAGCCATCCTGATGGAAACATCTGTTGAAAAATTCCACATTTCATTTGACTGTTAATTATTTAACCATGTAAAGTTATGCCCTCATCTGTATGCGACCCTGTCATGAGCACCAGTCCATTAAATATACTTGATGCCTTGGAGGCAGAATCTGCACGCGTGTTGAGCTGGGTTGGAATGGATGGACTTTTCTTTTTCTCCCCTGCAAATCACATTTCCTTTGACTTCAGTGTCTAGAAAACGATTGCCAATTTGAAGAGATGAATGTGATCATGACCTGAGCCTGATACAAACCCATATAAAATGGCAAGAACATTCTGATTTCAAATTTTATATGGATAATTTCATTTTCAAGCGCTGAATTTTTCATGTTTGAAGGTACATTTTGCACTTGCTTTAGAATCAACTAAAAGGGAAGACGGAGTGAAAAGCTGTTTATCGAAGCATTTGACATGGCAGATACAAGTTACTTTAGTCTTTCTGGGCATGTTAGAGCCTGAAAGGGTCATGGTCGGCGCTTAGAATGTTTCAGCTCCATTTTCTCCTTGCTTTCATGGCATTAAAAGAAAAGGAAGAAAGAAGAAAAAAAATGAAGATAGGAAGCAGGTATCTGGTTGTTTAATTGATCACATCTCCAATTGCCCACTTTTATGCCTCCGTAATTATAACGCCATAAATGCAGGGAAGCAAAGATGGCGGCATATCTGAGCTCCATGGGATAAGTACACCAAGATGGACATTTAGCCAACACATCAACAACTGAAGAAATGTAATTAGAAAAAGGGAAACCTTTAATTAATTAGAAATGTAGATTTGGAATCATTAACGCTAAGCATTAAGAAAGAATGTTGTGTGAATCATTGAATTATGCAAAGTAGAAAAATGGTATGCTAATTCCCCACTTTCAGCACCGAGAGCAATGAAATTTTGCACTTTCCATGACTAAAGGAACTAAGCGACTATTGTATGATTTCTCCTGACATTTTTCCAGCCCTATTTTGTCCAATCTATGATATGCTGTCATGTTCCACTAGATACCTGCATTAATGGTGGAGTACAAGGCAACAAATCCAGCAGTTCAGCTAGCAGAACTGCAAGAGCAAGAAGGCTCCTTTTTAACTTTTCTATGGTCCCTGTATTTTGACTATACGAGATCCAGTTGCTAGCAAAATCCAGCAGTTCAGCTAGCAGAACTGCAGGAGCAAGAAGGTTCCTTTTTACTTCTCTATGGTCCCTGTATTTTGACAATACCACATCCAGTTGCTAGCGCAAAGACAAAACCAGCGCCCAGTTTCATTTCTTCAGGATTCTACTAATTAATGATTGAAGCGGTTAATTAAGAATTAATCCTTGGGATGAAATTAGTCTGATGATGACTCCAAGAGTATAGTTAGAGGCATCGATACGGGGCCTGCAGTTCTTGCACCAGACCCAACAAATTCTTGACCAATATGATACCAGCCAAGGCTGATTCTTCTATCCGCTTAATTTATTCACGACCAGGAGTTGGGTAGCACAAGGTATCTCCTCCAATATAAAAAAACTAACGATTTAGGTTCTGGGTCCTGATGGGTGGACCAATGGGGTTATAATACTCTTTTTGAGTGGGGCCATTGGCAATGTCGACCACAAAGAGATGATCAACAACACTGTATAGTCTTTGTGTTTTGGCCACCAACGGGTCACGTAGATTAGCAGAAAATATTAACTTAAACATGATGGCGTCAAAATTAATAGACCAAGGAGCGAATTAAGGGAAAATAAGTGCTAAAATCTAAAGATTTTTCTCCTAAAACACAATAATTTCGACAAAAAATGAATGCCATGTCAGCTTCCCCCCCTTTGTGAAGAGTTTGAGACACAACCGAGTAGCTTTTTCTCTAGCAAGTAGCTCCAAGAAGTTGTGAAGGGTTACCGTCTTTAATCACCCTCGCTCGCGCACACACAATATAGGTGGAGCTTGTTGTCACGGACACATCATAAAGGAGAGAGAGGGAGAGTCACTCTTGATTTCATCAGTTCTTCTTTCCCCCTCTCTTTGAGAAGCAAGTTGACGATCAAATACCAGAGAGAGGGAGAGCTTGCATCAGTTTCTCTTTACATAAAAGAATCTTGTTAGGGAGAGATGGGAGTGGGTTCTAAGTTAGGGGAAATAGCACCATTTACAGTGATGGTGATAATGGAAGGTTGCACTATCGCACTGACAATTATGGCCAAAACAGTGATGTCTAGAGGGATGAGCCCTTTTGTATTTGTTGTGTATACCAACGCGATTGGCACCCTCATTCTCCTCCCTTATTCCTTCTTGTACCACAGGGAAAGGTCTACACACACACACACACACCCTGATCTATTTATATATTTATTTCCCTCTGATTATCCTACGCTTCTTTGTTAACTGATATTTGTAACAGTACTGTCCCTAGCTAGCTAGCTTCTGATCATACTCCATATTTTTATTCATTGCAGAGCAGAACAACCACTCTTCACCTTGCCAGTTTTCTTGCGATTCTTCTTCCTGGGTTTGACAGGGTTTGTACTCTCATATTTCCAATTCGATTGTATATGTGTGTGCATGTAGTCACAAGCCCACAACTGATCACACACATACACACATTAGCATGAACCTATTCATGTTTTTTTTTTTTCCCTTTTCATCTTTTTTTGTTAATTAAAAAAAGATCGAATTCATAGGGAACACCAATTGTATCCTAAGTTGCCAACACGGTTGCCCTCCCTTTTCCTGGACACTACCTTCCACCCACCGGAGGATTAAAGATTGGAATGTCGAATTTAGAAATTTGGTTGTGTTTTTTTCTTAAAAAAAAAACAAAGAAAGAAAGAAAGTTTCTTCTCCATTCTAAGAATATTTTTCAATGGAAAACATGTAAGATGCTCGTTGTCAAAATCTTTTTGACGAGAGGACGTGAACGTGTTTTTTTGTTCTTGATCAACAGTAATAATTAGTGTTGGGAAGGTTGTGTTTTTTTCTTAAAAAAAAAACAAACAAAGAAAGAAAGTTTCTTCTCCATTCTAAGAATATTTTTCAATGGAAAACATGTAAGATGCTCGTTGTCAAAATCTTTTTGACGAGAGGACGTGAATGTTTTTGTTGTTCTTGATCAACAGTAATCATTAGTGTTGGGAAGAGAGAGAGAGAGAACCACGGGCTTAATATCCATCCTGACCAAGATGAGGAAACCTTTCATAAAATTTCTTGAAATTGAAAACAAGAGTCTCTTTCACCTGTTGTTTTTAAGATAATAGAAGAAAGGATATGCAACGCAACGATACTTGCAATTCACTTGGAAAGGGTGGAGAGACCTTTCCAAGATCTGGATTAAAAAAAAAAAAAGGTTTTCTCTGTTGTGCAGAGGTAATCTGTTGGGAAATTAAAATAAAATAATACAGAAAAAAGTGAATTAAACAAGAATCATGCTTTTGATTTCCTAATTAAGTGGAGAATTTTTATTTTTTTTTTAGTTATTGAATGGAGAGAATTCGAAAAAGAATTTTTTAAGAATTAATTTTTCAATTTAAAGAACTAGAATTGAATTACAATGTGTTTCTTAAAAAAGATGTTTTCCTTTAAAATTAGCACTAATAATTACCGTGGTTTTAATTAAAAAGTTTCTATTTTACAACGCATTTTCAAGAGTTTCTATTTTCGTGAAAATTAAAAAGTTCGGCACTAATAGACAGTGGTTTTAATTAATCGACCATTCCTCGAAACAGACGGTGATTAATCATTGTGCCATATTAAGTAT